GAGATGTAGGGGGTGAAAGGATTCCCCAGAGACAGAGTGGGGAGCAGAACAGATGGATCCACTGAAACACACTGCTGAGGGTGTTGTAGAGCAACCCCGATACAAAATGGGGTGCCTGACTGTGGGTCCTCACCCGCGCGCTTAAAAGGACTTATCAATGCTCTACTGCAGGCACACGTGAAAGGTTAATAAAAGGTTTATTTACAAGGGAAAGGGAAATGAGGAAATGTACAGCTCTGGGAGAAAAGTGGGAGACAAAGTTTTAAATGAGTCCTACCCGATCCGCCGATCAGGAATCCCAAAATGGCGCTCTGAGAGCTGGCCGCCAGCCAGGAGCGGTGAAGCCAGGAGGCGAGCGATCGCGAGCCAGAGAGAGAGCAAGGCCCACGTGTTTGGTTTTTATATCCAACCTGGCTGCCCAACTCCACCCTCAGGTCCCAGCCACCCTCCCCTTGGTGGTGATGGGATTTGTCTTTCCCAATGTCCTGATGGCTTTAGTCTGGAGTGGGGGTGGAGTCCACAAAGCCTGTATGAGATTATCTCAGGACATCCTTTCCCCCTAACAAGGGGAGCAGCCGGGAGACAGGAGAGGTCTGCTGCACCCTGTGGGTAGCTCCCTGGCGGGGGATCAAACTCAGGCCACATTTGCTTGATAGTAATTTGATAGCGCTGACGTTAACCCCCGTAGCACCAGGGAGGCCCGGAACCAGTTTTCATGCAGTTTTCTCATAAAGTTTGGGGATTGAGATTGTGACCACCTCATAAAACAAGTTGAAAAATAGCCTCCTTTTCTGTTTTTAGAAAACTTTGCACAAGATTAGAATTATTTTTCCATAAGTATTTGGTAAAGTTGACTCCTAGAGCAACCTAGGCCTAGTAGTTTATTATGTGGGAAGTTTTTCTTTCTTTCTTTTTTTTTTTTTTTTAAGATTTATTCATACAAGAACCAGGGTACAGACCAGATGCGTGGGAGGGGGAGAGGACTCACCAGAGGCAGAGCGGGGAGCAGAACAGGCGGATCCACTGAAACACACTGCTGAGGGGAGCAGCGGGGAGACAGGAGAGGTCTGCTGCGCCCTGTGGGTAGCTCCCTGGCGGGGGATCAAGCTCAGGCCTGCTCTGCGGCCTTGGCAGTGCTAATGCTGAGACTTAACCCCTAGACAACCAGGGAGGTCCCAAGGTTGTTTGATTCTTATCATTATTTTCAAGTCCTCTGCCACAATCCTCAGTCTTGTCTTTTATCTCCTCCAGTGTAGCTTGCATAGTTATTTTTACTTTCAATTAGGATAGCTTTAGTGTTTGTTCTCTCCCTGCCCCACAGGAAGCAGATCTCAAACTGACAGACAACTTAGTGGCTATCTCAAAGGAAGAGTCGGAACATTTTCTCTATCTTTAAGAAGGCAGGGCTCCAAATTGTCTAGAGTGTATGGAATTCTACTGCTATTTGTGAAAACTTCTAATATAGAAATTCCTCATTTTGTCCACTCCTGTAAAGAGATATGGTTCTGCTCCATTCTGCCCTTGGAGGAGCTGCTTCCCAGGGTCAGTTGAGGTAGGGGCGCTTGAGGTCACTGTCCCTTTCCAAGCCCTGCTCCAGCTGTGTAGAGACTTCAGAGAGAAGGCATGGTCCTCAGTGAGCTGTTGCTTCTGGAATGCTTCCCTTGGCACCTGAGTCAGCATCCTGACAAGTGATCTCATCTGCCAGTTGATTCCAAACTGTTAGTTCAAACACTCTCTTGGAAGAACTAATCCTGACACTCCCCTCCCGCCCTAGTGGACCCTGACCCTAAACCCACCCATGCCAAGCCCAGAATAATGATACTGGTGCTAAAGGTCACACCTCTGCAGCTCCAGGACCTCCCAGCTCTCAACAGAGAGCAGAGCTGGGTGAGCCATTCTATTTGTGTAGAAATGGGGTTGAGGGTGTTTGTTCTTCTTTTATATAAATGCTTTGAGATATGATTTATGTACGTCACACTCATTTAAAGTATGCCCTTTAATAGTTGCACAACATTAGAGTTGTGCAACCACTGCTATCATCAGTTTTAGGATATTTTCATCACCCCAAGAAAGAAGCCCCACACTTGTTAGCATCCACCCCCAATTCCCTCCAGTCCTCCGACCACCAGCCCCTGGAAACCTCTCATCTACTTTTAAGTCTGTCACAATTGCTGTATTCTGGACATTTCACATAAATGGAATTATACAGTATGTTGTCTCTGTGAGAGGCCTCTCTGTTAGTGGAATGTTTTTGAGGCTTTTCCATGAGGTCCCATGTGTCAGTACTTTATTCCTTTTCATTGCTGAGTAATATTCCACAGTACAGTTGTGGCACCTTTTGTTCATTCATCAGCTGGTGGGCATTTGGATTATTTCTACTTTTATTATTTTATTATTACTGCTATCGATACTCACATACGATTTTTCTGTGGACATGCGTTTTCATATCTTTTGAGCAGATACCTAAATGTGGAGCTGCTGGGTCATCTGTAGTTCTGACATGTTGAGGAAGGGCCAGACTAGTTCCCAAAGAGGCTGCCACGCCTTTCTTGTTTTCCTGCCAGCAGGTTATGAGGGTTCCAATTTCCTGCATCCTTGCCAACACTGTCACTTTTTATTACAGCCATCCTATTGGTTGTGAAATTGTTTCTCATTGTAGTTTGAATTTGTATTTCCTTGGCGGTTAATGCTGATGAGCATCTTTTCATGTGCTATGGACGTTCATGCCATTTCTTTAGAGAAATGTTTAGTGAGATCCTTTGCCCTTTTTTTCTCTGCAGCTTCTTCCACTCAGAAAACCTTTGTTCATGTTTGAATTGTCTTTTTATTATTGAATTGCAGGGTTATTTATTCTCAATATAAGTCCCTTACTGGATAACGATTTGCAAATATTTTTTCCCATGTGCTTGTCCTGTCACTGTCTTAGTGGTGTGCTTTGAAGCACAGATTTTAACTTTGGATCATGTTCTATTTATCTATTTTTCCTTTTGTTACCCTTGTTTTTGGCATCATAGCTAGAAAACCATTACTTAACGCAAGGTCATGACAATTTATACCAAGGCGTTTCTCCACCAATTTAATCATTTTCCCTTTTATATTAGGTTTTGAGTTGATGTGTGTGTGTGTGTGTGTGGTGTGAAGCCGGGTCCAGCGCACTCTTGCACGTGGAAGCACCTTGTTTTACTTATTTTTTTCTGTTCCCCACTGTTTTGTTTTGTTCATGATCGGAATAAGAAAGCTTCGCTGTGCTCTAGTCACCCGTAGAACCGGGGGCCCCATAAACCCACTTGCCACCGTCCCTTTGTGCCCCCGTGGTGAGCCCCACAGACAAGAATCCTTGCAGACGCGCACCAATACCCAGTGACCACCAGGACGGGCAGCGCCTCCTCTCTGCTCCTACCCCGGCGACAAAACCTCCTGAGAGCCTGACATAAGCTGTCTGTCCTTCGACGGAGTCACCCGCCATGTCTAAGTCCTCTCGCTAAGACTAACATTTGCATGCGACTGAGTTTATCAGGTCTTTTGCAGGGAAAGTTAGCCAGTTCCTTGGTCGTTGGGGTCGGGACATGGGAAAAGGAGGCTGGGGAGGGGCCAGCGGGCACAGAGAACTGGCATCAAGCTTGCAATTCTTCCAGGGAGGCTGGCACCGCCTCCTGGCTGGGTTAGAAGCCTGGATGAATCCTGAGAAGACAGGAAGGCCTGGACCTCATTTGTCTTATGCCCCATCACAGAGCGCGGGGGCGGCCCCGAGCTGGAACAGGGTAAACACTAGAGAGTGAGCAGAGTAGAAACACCAGCAGGAAGGGACTGAGCGTGAGGGTGGGGAGAGCTGAAAAAGTGAGGGGCACCCAAAGGGGGCGTGGGCGGCTCCTGAGCAAGTGTGCCTCCTCTCCGTCTTGGTTCCATTGGCAGTAAGACAGGACTAGGTGCTCCGAGTGCCGGTCCTGGGTTGGGGGGCACCCGGGGAACACTCCTGTCGGCGCCCCTACCCAGGAGCCACTGCAGAGAAGCCTCAGCGCCTGCTCTGTCTGGGGAGCAGAAGCAGCGTCTGCCTATTCCAGTCTGGCCCCCGCCATTAGCAACACACACGGGTTCACCCCAGGACCAGGCACAGGAAGGGCACGCTGCTTGCCAGCCTGCTGGCACCAGAGGGAGCACGGCCTGCTGGCACCACCTAAGGGTCCTGGCTGCTAACCCATTTGGCAACAGAAGGAAGAAGAAACATATGCCCTTCACGGCTTGGGGCGGGGCGGTGAGGGGGGACAGGGCGTGGGGGGGTAGCTCAGTCTGCGGGGGTGGCACTGGGTGGATCGTGTCCCTAGAAGACAGCGCTAAGCCTGGGGCAGGGAGTGCAACTATCTATGGAAGTGGGGCCTTTGCAGAAGTGCTGAACAGTCTTGAGGGGAGGCCATCCTGATTTAGGGTGGACCCCAACACCAATCGGGTGTTCTTTTGCGGGGTTGGGGGCTTGAGACACACAGAAAGCTGTTCCCACAGAGATGGTGACAGCCTGAGGCTGGAGGGACAAGGCCACCAGCCAGGAGCGCCCGACCCACTGCCGCAGGAGCCCAAGGGTCCCCGCCACTGCCTCGGAGAAGCGGGTCCTGATCTCAGGTTCTGGCCTCCAGGGATGTTAGGGAATAAATTTCTGCTACTGGAAGCTGCCGAGTGTGTGGCCGTTGCGGCAGCCGCAGAGGCCAGGGTGGAGTGCAAGTGCCCCCTGCCTGCCCCTCACGCAGCTGTGCCTGCCCATGCACTGGCTGCACCCCTGCCCTGCATCCCCGGAGGGAGCCGAGGGCCCAGCATGTGCCCGTTGGGTCCTGGTGCGGGTGTCCCCAGGCACCGAATTGGGGGCCTCCAGCAGGCAGCAGGGGGAGCTAGGAGCGGGGACAAAGGGGGTTCCATCCAATGACAAGGCTGATGATGCTGAGACACACAACTCCAAGTTTAATGTTCTCCAGACAGAGCGCCGGGTGGCACGAAGCAAAGCGGGCGCTGGCTCACCGCACGCCCACGGACAGCCAGCGGCCTGGCCAGCAGATGCCCTCCAGGCGGATGTGCTGCCCGCAGGCTGGGGGGTTGGCCAGACTGAGCACCATCAGGCTCCAGGAAGGAAGGCTCTTGGAGGGGTCAGGGGCCAAAGCAAGCCGTGAGGGTGAGTGCAGCCCTGGGTGTCCACGGCAAGGCGGGGACTGCAGGCCGAAGTCAGCCCCAGGCCAAAGCACCAATGCCACGCAGCAACCTGCTCAGGGCAACCCAGACACCCACCTCTGGGGGCTCCTGACCACCCTCTATCCTCGTCTTGGGACTGAGCCAGAGGGGGTACCAGAGACAGGCAAGGGGCCGGGGGGGGCTTTGGGCCCTTCCAGCTGCTCTGGGGCCCAGAGAGGGCCCCTCGTCTTAGGCTGCCGGTCACAGAGGCCCGGGGGAGCCTCTGGGGGCTGGATGCTGAGGTGGGCTGGAACCCACAGGGAAGGGACTCTGAGAAGGGCTTGAGAAGGCCTCGGGTAGCTGACCCGCCTGAGAAAAGGAACAGACAGTCCCTGCCGGGGTGACAGGCGTGGAGATGCTCCCAAGGGGTGGAGCCGAGCCGGTCAGGATGGGTGCGGCCCCTGAGCGCCCAGTACTGTCAGGAGCTTGGGACGCAGCCAGAAGAAAGCTCCCGGCACGCGGCCCACTGTCAGACCAGGGCTGGGGCCCACGGCGGCTTCCCGCAGGCCTCGGCCGTCCCCGCGCTTCCCCTGCCTGGACCCCTGCACTGTTGTGGCTCAAAGACCAGCTGAGCCCTGGGGCCAGCCACAGGGAGATGCCTGAGATGAGGCCATCAGCCCAGCTGGCCCCACGGAGATTCACACGTGACCTAGGAGAATGAAGTCAAATGGCTTCCCTGGGTCCCCACCCACCCCGGGCCCTCGCTGCCCAGAGTCCACCCCAGGCTTCCCTTCCAAGGAGGCTCGGGCCCCTGCAGCCAACCACCCGCCTCGGGGGCCATGAGACAGGTGGGAAGGCAGAAATAACCCCTGCCTGCCTCCCCCTCCCGCGGCCTGAAGGATTCGCTTAATCATTTCCGGGAGGGCGGCCGGATGGTTTACTCCAGGACGCGCTGCTGCTCCGGGCAGCGGCTCAGGGCCACCCAGGGATGTGCTCTGGGGGGGCTGGGGGTCCCGCGCCCCAGCAATTCACCCAGGGACCTCGAGACCTCGGGTCACGGCTGGGCTGCTCGGGGCAGCCTCCTGCTCCCAGCCTCCCTCTGGGAGGGGGGCCAGAGCCTCCGAAGTGGAATTTCCTCCTCCCCCCTCCACCGCCGCCTGCCCTCCCACCCTGCCGGCGCCCCCCAAGACTGCAACTGCCCACCCCAGGACAGGTCAGAGCACCTCCCCGTCGCCCCCACTGCTCCCCCACCCCAGATCGCTCCCCCCACCCCGCCGTCCCCGCCAGGGCCTGACCTTTCAGGATGGTGATGTTGATCTGGGGTGCGGGGATTGTGGGGTACACCGGCGGGCTGGGGTCACAGCAGCGAAAGCACCGGGAAGCAGGGGGCTCCTCGCCCGGCCCTGGGCTGTATTTTTCGTGTTTTTCTTCATCCCTGAGGACACAGACGTCGGCGAGAGCACCCAGGACCCTCAGACCCGGCCCCGCTCCTCCGTGGCAGGCCGGGGCCACCTGCCCCCCACCCGGCCACCCATGCGCTCCCTTTCCCTCCGCGGGGGTGGGTGGCGCCCCGGCGTGGCCAGCGGGGCCTGAGTGATGTCCCCGGAGGGGACCCCCTGCCAAGAGAGAAGCCGCCCCCGGCGGGGGACGCGGGCCGTGGGGACAGCCTTTCAGAGTTTGGGACGGCGCGCGGCAGTGCAGTGACCAGCCGTCCCCTCTGTGCAGCTACGGTTCTGGAGGGTTCGGTGTTAAGCCGACTCCTTTGTAAAGACGGGGCTCACTAGAGCCTGGGGTCCCCGGGCGCTGCGGTGGCTGCACACACCGGCTTTGGCGTCCACTCGGGAAGGGCCGGCGCCAGGCAGGCAGGACGGCACCGGCTCCCTGCTGCCCCCTGGTGGCCTCACGCTGCAGCGCACTTGCGCGCTCCGGCCGGAGCTGTGACAGGACCACCTTGGAGGTGGCACAGTCTCTTCAGTGGGCAGCTCCTGACCTGACTCTGCTCTTGCCTTCAAACCCCAGAGCATCCAGCACCCAGCCGGGCCTTGCCCTGATCCAGAAGTCTCTGTCTAGAGTCAGCAACCCCACGCATGCGAAGTGTCCAAAGCTGACCTGCCGCTGTCCCTTCACCCCCGGAACCTTCTCTCCTGAACCCTCTTTCTAGCATCATCTTCGATCGCTTAGAACGGGGGCGTCAAGCCTCATGTCTAGATGCCTCTCTGGTCTCTATGGGGCCACTGAGCACAATGGGGCTCTGAGCAGTCAGCCCCCCGCTGACACACCCCAAAGCAGCTCCAGACCCCAGGCCTCTGCCCCCACCTGTCTGGATCACCTCCATTTCTTAGCTCCGTGGAGCTGCTCTCACCCTTCCCCACCCCCGTCGTAACCCGGCATGACGCCCTGTGGGATGGACTCAGGAGAGGCCCCCAGGCCCGTCACTGTGCGCGGCCGCGCCCTCACACACCGGTCCTGGGGTCCTGGGCCAGCCCCTTCCCTCCTGCGTGCCAAGTCCCCGGTCCTGTCCCCACCCCCGCGCGTGCCGCACCTGCACCGCGGAGCCTGCCTCGCTGTGCTGGGCCTGGGCGTCTGCCCCCATGGCCGCTGACTTCCTGCAGCCCGGGCATCCGCGTGGGCGTCCCCCGTGCCCAGCGGGCCGGCCGAGAGCAGGCACTCGGTCAGCGCCGGGGGGGCCAGGGAGAGCGTGGGAAGGAGCAGGGAAGGGAGACGAGGGATGTCACTTTGCCCCGTATCCTCCTCAGTGCAAATCTCAAAATAACGCAGACGTCAAACCAGCACCCGACTGTCCCCGAGGGTCTCAAGCCTCACTGTGAGCCCTGTGAGGCGCCCCGCGCCCCGCGGCATGCCCAGAGCAGCCAGAGCAGAGCTCGAGGGTGGAATGGGGATGGTGCCGCTCACAGGAACCCACAGTGGGCCCCCCCCATCTGGCCACCGGTCAGCAGACCCCCCCACCCCCATCTCAGCCCCTCACCTCTCTGTGTGGTCCGGCGGTGGTGACGGCTCCTTGGTGGCCTCCGGCTCCTCCTGCTCCGGCTGCCCGTGTGGCGTGCGGCCCAGCGCTGGTCCCCAGGCAAAGGCCAGCAGCAGGCCGCTGGTCAGCAGGAGTCCCAGCCCCCGGGAGCCCATCGTCCTGCTGTGCCCTGCTGGGGAGACGCTGGTCAGGAGGGGGTCCTCCCGGGAAGAGCCTCCTCCTGGGAGGACACTGCACGCTCACACACACACACCCATGCGTGCACACACACATGCACACCCCCTCCACACTCACTGCCACACCCATGGCTCACAGGCTCTCTGGACACACCCCCACTGGCACACACTCAAACTAAAACATTTCCACTCGTGTGCATACACTCAACACTCACATCCTCTCGCACATTTGCACAATCTTAACATCACTCATGTGCACACACACACCTCACTGCACGCTCCTTGCATACACACTCACACTTCACGCCTCACATACTCACATCCAAACCCTGCCATGTGTGCACAACAGTTTCAACATTCAGGTTACTTGTGTGCACACACTCACTCCCATGCACACCTATTCAAATGCACATAAACACACTGGTGTGGGGCCCCCAGCAGCAGGGCACTGCCTGAGCTCCCAGCCTCCAGGGAAGGACACGGAGGCTGGACACGGAGCCAGAGCCTGGCTGAACCCCGCCATCCCCCCCAGGGCTGCCCCAGGCCCCGGGGGAAGGCAGGGAGGGAGGATGGTAGTAGTGCCCTCCAGCCACCAGGGGGTGGGCCGTGCACACCCACCAGCATCTCTTTTGGGGCAAGTGGGCCACCCCCGAGGACACGGACCCCGCATCTCTCATTCGTGGTGCTCTCCGCAAAAGTTTTGGACAGGACCCTCCTCTTCCAGGAGGGAGATAGCCTTCTAGGAAGAGCTGTCCACCGGGGGATCCCGATGGGCCATGAGGGGACAGTGCTTGGGATGAAATTATGAAAAACAGCCACTTCCACGGCTGCAGGTGCCTCTGCTAACTCAGGGCGACTCCCCGTTGCTCTCCAGGACAGACAGCTGCCTCCTAGAGGCCCTGGGAGGCCCCGGGAGGCCCCGGGAGGCCCCAGGAGGTCCTGTGGCTGCCGATGCTGCGGCCGGTCAGGGGAGGGCTCCGGCGCTGCAGAGAGGCAGCTGGGGAGTCCTCGCCCATGTCTGGCTTTGCTTAGTTCCTCTTTTATGTTTAAGGAAACTGAATATCGGCGGGGGTGGGGGGGCTCTCTCTGTAATTCCGTGCCCAGATGGACGCCTTTGTCACCCCCGGGACGTGTGGGCGCACTTTCCAGCGTCTGCTGCTCTGTGGTCCCGGAGCCCCAAGTGCACAGCCCCTCCACAGAGTCCATGTCCAGCTCCGTCTTTTACTCTGCATTTAGCAGCCCATGTGCAAGCTCTGAAGAGAGGGTCCCTAAGCCCTCCCTGCTGGCACCCAGGCCCGGTCAGGGAGACCCAGCCCTGGCACAGAAAGGCCAAGCGCTCTGCCGGACCCCCCAGGCAGGTGCTGAGACTGGGTCAGAAAGGCCGGCCTCCCATGAGCCCCAGGCACCCTCGCTCCTTTCACCCACACATCCACGGGCCCTTCAGCCCCCGATCACCCTCCCCTGGGCCCCCACCTCCAGGTTCTCTACCAAACAGCCATTCCCCCAAGTCACAGGGCCCAGAGGCCTCCCCAGTGGCCAAGAGGTGGCTCAGCAGTCTCCCTCCCCAGCACACGCTCAGAATCTCCACTACCTCCCGCCACCCATCAGAGCACGGGGTCTGCCTGCATGCTAATTCACAACACACATGTTTACATTATCTGCCATTCGTCAGCTGTCGTTTGTCAGCCACCTATCAGCTATCATCTGTCACCTCTCTGTCCGTCTGTCTGTCTATAGTCTCTCCATCTGCCGCCTCTCCAGGCCCTCTGGCGGAGCATGCAGGAGCCTCTCCCCTACTAGCTGCATGCGTGGCACCCTGTTTTCTAGCTCCCTGCTTCCCAACCTTTCACCTGCACACACACCCCTGGGAAATCTTGCTAAAATGCAGGCTCTGATTCAGCGGGTCTGGGCCAGGGCCTTGACCGGTTGCATTTTCCAAGAGCCCGGGTGCTGCCAGGCGCTGGTCCAGGGACCACACCAGAGTCCAGGTCCTGGCCTGGCCTCTCAGCGCCGGCATCCAGCCACCTGCCGCGTCCCTCTCCCCAGCCGGGAACGCCCTTTTCTCTCCCCTCTTCTACTAATAACTAGGTTAACAGAACCATGAGTGGCGCCAGACTGTGCGTGGTGCTACGCAGTGCTGCAAACCGTCCTCTCGACCCCCAGGCGTCAGGGCCAGGGCCAAGAAGGCCCCATCACCAACCTCGGAGGACCTGCGGGGCTTCCCCTAGGAAAAGAAGCTCATTTGTGATTATGCCAAAGGCACAAATGAGGAAAACAGACATAGGATGTAGGCTGGCCTGGATGGGCCAAGTTTAAGCGGGGGTGGAGCGGGGCTGGCCTCGAACTTGCACCGTCGTCCTCAGATCACGACGAAGTCCTCCCTGGTCTCAAGACCAAGTCAAGGCCTCTTTCCTCCTAAGTCGTCCAGAACCCCGTCGGCCAAACCTCTCCCTCCTCTTTCGAGTTGTGTCTGTGGCGCTGTTGCAGTCTGCACAGGGTTTTGCTTGGCTTGTGAGATTGTGGGGGGCGGGCTGTGACCTCCCGGGCCTAGGACACGGTCCGGCTCCTCTCGGGCCAGCCCAGCATCCTGCAGCGCCTGAACTTGTCAGCTGCCCAGCAAATATTTGTCGCGTCGAATGCTCTAAATCTGCTTGTTCCCCTATTTCTGTACTTCCTCTGCTTCTCCTTGGCGCCTTCCTAATTACGCCATTTCTTTCCCTTTTAAATGGCGAGCTTTCATCGTTTGAAACGAGAAGGGGTTTTCCTTTCTTTAAACATTTTTTCCTTAATCCAAAGTAATATAGAGTCGTTTTGGAAAATGACATCAAAAGGAAGCCAAACAGTACCTGGGCTTCTTGGCCCCCTGGGTTTCGGGCCAAGCTCGTGCTTTGTGGCTTTGGGGGGAGGGGCTGCCCTGTGCCTTGTGGGATGTTTAGCAGCATCCCTGGTCTCCGCCCACCAGACACATAAGCACCGCCACCCCCAGAAGCAAAAATAACCTGGCTCTGCACTTTGCCACGTGCCCCTGAGAAGCAAAATCCCCCAACTGGGACTCAGGGCTCTGTGCCCAGAGGAAGCTCCTTTAGCGAGTTGGAATCCTCTCTTTCTGGCTTAGAAAGGGCTTTTCTATACCTTGATCAGAAGAGGCGGGGGCCAAGATGCAGCTAGTTTGGGGGTGACGACGTCAGAGGGCCGGGGTGCCACGCCCACCAGCGAGCTGGAGGCTCCGGGCTGGCCGCGAGGGCCGCAGAGGCCGCGTCTCCTCCAGGGCCTCCTCTTTGGAGCCGCGGCAAAGCCAAAGTGAAAGCTTTCCTTCCTCGAGAATATCTTCAGGTCCATTCCCCACGTCTCACAGCAAAGTCAGCACCGTGACGTCATCTTAGTCACTCCTGGGCGAGACGGGGCCGCCTGACATCCGGGAATTTGCCCCAGTCACCGCCAGCGGGTCCAGCCACATGAGGTGCCCTGCGCAGGGCAGGGCTTGGCCCCCAGGAGAGTGACTCAAGCCCAGGAGCCGGGGGCCTGGAGCCTGAGTCCGGCCGCGTGGCCCGTCTCCGGCCGCCTCGCGGTTTCGGCATCTGAAGCCGCCTGCAGCGTGACTCAAGCTCTTGCCTTTCCCAAGCCCTGGGAGCGAGAGCCAAGTTCCAGGGCTGGTCCAACGTCTTCCTTCTCTTGCCCTGGGGGCCTGCAGCTCTTCCACCCCCTGCCCCCCAGTGTCCCAGCCTCCCACTTACCTGACCCCATGGGAAAGAACCCCCTTGGCTGGAGGGAGGGGGGATCAGGCCCTGGATGGGGTGTGCGGGGGGGCGGAAGTCTGTGAACGCTCCATTGTTAATCGTTTGCACCCCCTCTTGGCCCCCTGTGGACCCCGGGAATCCGTGGGGAGACCACAGCCACAGCGGCCTCTGATGGCATGTCTGCAAGGGGGCTCCGCTCGCTGACCCCCCCCCCCCATGTGCTGGCCGTGGCCTCCCGCGCCCGCTGACAAGACCTCTGTGGAGGGACGTGGCTTCCGCTCCCTCCATCTGCATCGGGGGCCCAGCTGTCCCGAGAGGCGAGAGCTGCAGTGTGGCTCAGCAGGAGCCTTAGAGGACAAGACCGAGGCCCGTCACACAGGGATTCAGGCGCGGTGGGAACCCAGGGTGGCGGGTGGGCACTGGCAGCTGCGGCCCTGCAGTAATGCAGTAGCCGGCGGTTACGTGAGGGTCCAGGCTACCCCAGCTGAAGACACGGGCAGGTGCTGAGCCTCAGGGGCAGCCCACGCACCTCGGCCATTTCGTTGAAAATGAATCAAAGCGGGGCCTCCCTGGTGGCGCCGGGGTTAAGTTTCAGCGCTATCAAGCTGTCCGCAGCCACTGCACAAGTTCGATCCCCGGCCAGGGAGATACCCACACAGCGCAGCAGACCTCTCCTGTCTCCTCGCTGCTCCCCTCAGCAGTGGTTTCAGTGGATCCGTCTGTTCTGCTCCCCGCTCTGTCTTTGGTGAGTCCTCTACCCCCCACACCTCTGGGCTGCACCCCAGTTCTTGTATGCATAAATAAATTTTTTAAAATCTTAAAAAAATAAAATTAATCAAAGTGAAATAAGCTACAAGGGCCACATCCTCAGTCGCCGGGGGAGATCGCAGCAGCTACGGCCACGCAGGAGGCCAGAAATCTGGGAGTCATTCAGCCTCTTTCCGCTCCGCATCTGCCCACGAGCGTCACCAACCGCTGTCCTCGGCTCCCACCCGCCCCTGCTTGCTGCCCCTCGCCGGGACCTGATGCTTTCCAGGAGCCTCGGCTGCGGCCCAGACCTCGGCCATCCAAGACAAACACCGATATCTGGCTTTTCCAGGACCTGGACATCACCCCAAAATTTTGCATGAGACGGAGCTTGGTATCCAATTGACCCTGGCTTCAGGGGGCATCGACCAGCCTTCATACTATCCTTGTACACAACTGCTCTGCCCCCCTTCCCTACAGGGTCCCCCCAACCAGGCGGAAGCCCCGAG